ACGTCATGTTAATTAGATTAACGAGTAACAATTTGGCACGAGAAGACAAAGAAATCATACAAATCTAATAGAATTTAAAATGGAGTAAAAACAAAAGATGAGATGGCAAAAACAGAAGGGATAGTAGCGGGACAGACTGTTTGGAAGCAGGAACAACAGGGGTAGCGTGGACCTTGGCTGTTTAGACTCGGCCGCCGTCACCGAGCTGTCATTTGTAGTAGCGTCACAGTCCTTTGCCTCCTCCTACACACGTGTCGTTTAACCCTCCACACGTGCGCTGCGGTCCAATTTTCTCTGTCGATCCGGTGGGTCCCACTCCCATTCAATGCCTTTCACGTTCTGACGTTGACCACACCGTTACGTTAGAACGACCGCCCACAGAACCCCCTCCTTTTTCCCATCCCTTTCCATTTTCCCCCTTCTTTTACTAAAATACCCTTTCTACCTTTAGTAAGTTTGGGTTAATTTACGAGCATCTCTACTATTTCTGTGAAATAATTATCCGATCTTATAACAATTTTTGTTCTTCAGACTACAGTGGATTAGCGATATCGAGATATTGATAAGGTTAGGTTATCTACCTATCGCGTTAATAAGGTAGTACTCACTCTTATCTTTCCTAAACCGCGAGTGAGGTTGGAGAACAAGTTAGACGAAGATTGAGTTTAATAATTACATAAACGTGAATTGAGGGCTTATAAATTGAATTATCTTCAAATTAACTTTGATTCTAAAACGTTTGGTTGTTAGAAAATTTATAATAATCCAAGTTCATCATTTGACGATTTGTAACATTATTAGAATACTCCAAAGATATGACCATCCACCCAATTTGAACTCATTTCCATCAAGTTTCCTTATATTATGTTTTCACTGACTCTCATAACCATAGACATTTACCATGGTTATTTAATTCATAATTTAAACATTTTATTAATGTAAAAATATAATGTTGTCCCTAGAATTTTAATAAAGTTCAATTTTTGTTACATCTGAGTTCATGAATTAATGAAAATTTGATATGTATTGATTTAATATTCGTGGGATGAGGTTGAAATCCACGTTGATATTTGTTGAACTGAAAAAAAGTTCATGACATAAAAATATATGACAATATATAGAAATGTTACCACTTGCACTTAAGCGGAAATTTTAGTTGAAAAATCTAAAGTTTTTTAAGTTGAAAAGAACTTATTGTATCCTATTTAAAAATTGTAAGATAGCTGATCCATTCAAGTCCAACGATGTTTGCTAAACTGTCAAAGCCCGAAGCAAAAAGGGAGTAAATTAAGAAAATAAAGATGGTTTAGATGTACAAATAAAGATAGTATCACTGTTTCTAGTCAATCTTTTAAGCCAAATAAAATTTGAAAGCATTGTTCCTAGCCGCTCTTACCCATTATATTTTTATTACACCGGTTCCTTCCTTATTTCACTTCTGATTTTTTTAGTACAACGCTTATGCTTTAAAGACATGAAAAAAAGTTGGTTCATAATTTATTCTATTTTTTTTAGTTAAAAATATATATTCTCAATAGGTAGGGAGAGAAAAAAAAACATAAAATATTGCTAGAATATTGTAAGAATCTAGATAGGTTACTTCACATTACATAGAATAGAAAGTTTAAATTTTAAAATAGTAAAAATAGATACAAATTCGTGGATAAGACAGACATTTTAATACTATCTCGAAGGTGAACTATAATTATTCCACTCTATATTTTAATTAACTTTTTTTTTTATATTGAACTAAAAACTATATTTTAATCAACTGTTTTGGTTGAAAAAAAAATTACGTTTTCCCTCTTTTATTTATGTCAAACCCAATTTAACAATGTTTTTTAATGTTATTTTATTATCCTTAATCATGTGTACTAATCCTTACACGTTGGATAAACTTTGTTCTTATTAGGAAGACGTTTTAGTTTTAAAATTTTGTTTAAATTCATTATAGCATACGGCAATAAATTTTATATAATCTTCATGTACTATGCCTTCTGTTAACTCTAGTCTATTTTAATCATCCTTATTTTATAAAAGTATTTTATAACTTTTATAAAAAATATAAACAATGACAGCTCAATAGTTAGAATAATAAGTTTTTTCATTTCTAATCCAACGAATAAATGACAAGTTCTTCATGATCAATAAGGATAGAATAACCATTCCCATCGAGAATAAGAAAGAAAACCATTTAATTTTAAATATTGACATCCAAATTTCTCAACTTCACTTCTATATGTTCAAATTAGAATGATTTATTATAATTTATTTGTACAGTCACATAAATTTTTAAGGCGTTTCTAAAATCCTAGTTGGATTTTTTTTAATTCTCTATCCAAGTTCAAATTTTAAATTAAAACCCATAATTATTTTTATTTTAGTTGTGTTAGTTCTATGTTTTGAAAAATTCAGCTTATTTATATATATATATATATATATATATATAAACTTAAATACAAAAACATTAAAAGAGTCAATTTTGAGAATTGACTATAGTTTTAAATATATTTTAAAAACATAATAAAAAACAAAAAATAATTTCTTAGAACAACCAATAATAAATAAAATCATTATGAACTATGCACAAATAAAAACAAAATCATTATTTAACACAAACACAAAATAATTTGTACATGCATTTATCATGCATATCATGCAACTAACAAAAATTTTATTAGAAAAAATATGTTTAATAATTAAAAAAAATAAGGGAGGATGTATTTTGACTTATTAGGCAATTAATTGTTATAGAAAGGAAAGTGTAGGGTACAATAGTACAACAATAAATTTTCTTCAATGATTCAATTTAAATTGACTTGTCTCTTGCATCATTAAACTAATATTTTAGGTTAATTATCTCGGTCGAATTCCAAAAATGCCCCTTACCACATAAAATAATTGGAATAATAGCCTACTGTATGAGGTCAATTAAACAAGAAACGCCTTGATTTTAATTCAAATTTTATTTTTGGTTAATTGCATTCTGAAATTACTTTTAAGATTTATGTTTAAATACTCTTTTTCCACCAATAATTTTAGTTTTTAATTTATTTTAGTCTATATACTTATAAAATATCCATTTTGATCTATGTAGTTTTAAAATTCTATTTATTTTAGTCTATGTATGAAATATTCGTGTTTGTCTTTGCATTTTTTTTTAAAAACAATCATTTTAGTCTATTTATTTTTATTTTTATCTCTTTTTTTTCAATCAAATTTTTAGCACGATATTTTATCAACTTGCTTGAAAATATAACAATAAATTTATATTAAATGGTTTCTATTTAGGTATAAAATTTTGTATCGTTACTTTTTAAAATTACAGGGATCCAAGTGAACGTTTTGAAAATACATGGACTAAAATGAAAAAATATAAAAAATACAGAGATTAAAATAGACATGGACAAAAATAGAAATAAATAATAATAAAGTAAAGATAGACATCTATTTATTGATAAGAATGAGAATACTATATTTTTTTTAGTTGAGTACTGACATAAGAATGCTACATATATAATGTTTTTTTAAGGATATATATGAAACGTTTTCTTACAATTTCCCTTTTTAAAATTTTCCTAAAATGTAGGAATTCTTGAACCACATGAAATTTAAAAGTGACATCTATTATAAGAAGGAATAGTTTTAATAATAATTTGTTGGCAAGTTGGGGTTTTGCAAATAATTGACTATTTTTTACAAATTTCATGAAAATAAACGAGGATGTATTTTCTTCAAAAGAATAGAAAAATACACATTTGAAACTTATGAAAAAAAAAATTAAGGTTTAAATTCTGTTTAGGTCGTGTACTTTTAGTTTAGTCTAGTAATTCAGTGAAATATTTTTAATTTTTGTTAATCTAATCTATATACTCTCAAAAAAATCTATTTTGATTCATGTATTTTCAAATTTTTTTTTATTTTGATCTATATACTTTCAAAAACTCTATTTTGTTCTTCTATTTTTGAAACTTCCACCTCACTCAATTACAACTTGCAACAAATCTTATTAAAATCTTTTAATACAAAATTATGGAAAGTTTTCAAAAGATTTCATTACTCCAAGAAATTTGTCTCCCGTGTAGATTGTGCTAAAAACTTAATAAAAAGAAAAAAAAAAGAGATTAAGGAAAAAAAAAATCAAAATAATGTATGAAAATAAAATAATTGTTTTGAGAGTACAAATACTGAAACTATACCAATCAAATAAAACTTAGATTTGAGTGTAACTTAATTAGTTAAGATATATATCTTAGAATCTTTACTCCCCACGTGCTAAACTTTTTAAAATAATATTCAGGTTATGTATCTTCCTACAAGCCCCGTACTACTAACAAAATTTCAGCTATTTAATATTTTTTTAATTTTATGTCAATCTTAAATGGTGGTGAGTGGAAGATAAATTCCTCGTCCTTTCAAAATTTAATACTATCCCTGTACTTTAATAAACTTCTCAAAAATATATTTTAATCAAATATTGGTTAATATCTAACCTAACATAATCTAAAACTAACTGACAATTAAAGTTGAAGTTGATATTATGATATATAAGTCCAAATTTTGTCAATAAAATTTGCTTCTCCATTTTTAGTAAGTTTTTTTTTCACATTTCTTCCCTTTTACGACTTAACCTAGATACGCTTTCACGCTAATTTACTACACCGTTCCGAATTTTATCACGTCAATTTTCTGTTAAAAAATATTAATAGATATTTACTTAAAAAGTTTTCGGAAACACCTACGAAAAAATAGTTCAATAAAACTTTATTTTTGTAATTTTTAGCCAAAGAAAAAAAAAATTAGAGTACCAGCTCTAGAACATACAGCGTATACAACAAATTTCATATCGTCTGATTTAATTTTCTCTCTCTTTTTTTTTTTATGTGGCGATAAATAAATCGAAAGGAGTAGGTGAAATGACGGAAACACCCTCACCCCGTCTTCGAATTCCGCGTTGGATATGTCAAATTGTGGTCTAGTGGGAAAAAAGGGAAAACGACGCTGAAAATTGGAAGTCCTCTTTCTCTCTCTCACGAATGGAGTACAAGTTGGGGAATCTCCACCCGAGAGGGTGAGTCCAGAAAAAACTATATAAACCCACTCCCGCTATTTCTTCATCTCTCGCCACCGCAATCCCAATACTTCAAAAATTCCTCCCCCTTTCTGTAATTTCTCTATTGTTAATGGATTCCGCATCCCGCCCCTCCGTCGTCGTCATCGGCGCTGGCGTTTCCGGTGAGTCGAACTTCATAATTCCGCCCCCTTTTGATTGACTCTGTGTTTCGTAATCATGGGTGTAGTTTTTTTTTTGTGGGTTCTTTTTCATTCTGGGGATTTTTTTTGATCGGAAGGCCTGTCGGCGGCGAAGGTGCTGGTGGAGAATGGAATAGACGACGTGGTGATTTTGGAGGCGTCGGATCGTATCGGTGGAAGAGTCTGTATGGAGAATTTCGGCGGCGTTTCGGTGGAGCTCGGGGCGGGTTGGATTGTCGGAGTCGGGGGGAAAGAACCCAACCCGGTTTGGGAACTCGCTCACAAATCCAGTCTCCGTACTTGCTTCTCTGATTACAGCAATGCTCGCTACAATATCTACGATCGAAGGTGTTTTTTTGATTTCCCCCAATATTTTTGTGTTCTCGATTTCATCCCATTTCGAGGTTTTGAGAGCAATGTGACGTATGCGAGAAATTTTTTTGAATCTGTTCTTCTCTCGGTCAATTTGAAGTGGGTTTTGGTTAATTTCTGAACCAATGAGTACTTGTTGTTGCAGTGGGAAGATTTTTCCGAGTGGTGTCGCGGCGGATTCGTACAAGAAGGCGGTGGACTCGGCGATTCAGAAGCTGAGGAATCAGGGGGCCGATGGCGCTGATGAGGTCTCCATTGTATCGGAGCCGCCTTGGTAAACTTTTTCAAAAAGTTTCCTTGTTGGTCGACGAGCATCTGAAAAAGAAAGATAAAATTATGGTATTAATATTCTTAAAGCACATTTTTAGTGTTATCTCTTCTTCCTTTTGTTTTCAGTACGCCAAAGACGCCTATGGAACTCGCCATCGACTTTATACTCCACGATTTCGAGATGGCAGGTCAATTTTCTGGCCGATTCTTGTTCTAATCTTTTTTTTTTTTTTGGTGA